CAGAAGTCTGTGAAGACGACACACTGCACAGTAAAGGCTAAAAGCTAAGGCTGAAACGGCTCTATTCCTACAGCTAGTACAACTTTTAGAGCATGATGCAAGTTATGAGTTGACACTCGAGCTGCAACTTATTAATACTGTTTTTCTTTTAAACTCTATTTCAAGTGATTTATTTTTTGTTTTCTGAGCTTTTGCCAAAGCAGTTTAACTCCTTCTTTTGCAGTGAACGAAAATTGACAATTTCACACAACCTGGGACTTATGTTTGTAGTTTTGGCCATCGCTTTGTGGTTTCACTGCTCGTGATTCTCTCTCCATCGGACTTCATTGTAGTCATTACATTTTTGAATACGATGTTAACATAACTGTCAGAAATGATGGTCGAAAGTCACAAGTTGTAATAAAAAAACAGTCATTTTTCCATCCTAACTCAAATCAAAGTTTGATTATTTTATCTTTGTATTTGTCTTTTTTGTGTTAAAGTTGAGCAATAAGCTGATCCACAAAGCTAATCTTGATTTTAATAATCACTTAAGTTTTTTTATTGAGAAACAACATCTTTCGGTTACAGATTATGACAATTTGAGGATTTGCTGCTTTGTAGATTCTGTGGGTATTTCTTGTAGACTAAACTATCAGTTAATTAGAAAAATAACTGACATAAATTAAAAAATAATATTAAGTTGCAGCCCCACTGTATGGTACATACTTAAGCACAGTAAAAATGTTATGTTGAAATTAGGACCTGAGCTTCTTCCTCCTACCTCTCCTCTAGCCTGACTGGACCCAGCCCTCAAACAACCACCTGTTAATATTCATGATGTGGCTTCACAGGTTGTGGTTCTCACAGAACCAGAAACATTCTCCTCCACCTCTTGATAACCCTGTAAACCCTGCGTACACACTGCTCTGCTGTCCACACTGCTTTCTGTTCACGTCTCCAGCTCCAGTCACAGAGGGCAGGGCTGTGTGCATCACACTGCTGAGCCGGCTGCCACATCCCCTTAAGTCCAACAACCACATGCTCTCCAAACCCTCAGAAACCGTTTAGAAAACAGTCGCCCCGCCATTGGGAGTTTCATGGTTATATGTAAAGTTATTGTTATGGTTAAATCTTGTAAACATGGACGTTTGCAAATATATTTCACCTGTTTAGTGTTGTGAGGGTTCCAGGACTAATTTTCACAACCCCTGCTTTATCTACGCAATCATCTTCATCTGAGTGAAGAGTCCTGTTTATCCATGTACTAACCTTTTGCTGCCATATCACATCCCTTAACCATCCACCAGCTGTCCTCAGTGTCCCGTCCCTTCCAGTTTCCTGATCCTCCACCTGTGTGCATACGTGCCCCTCATTAATCCATGTACCTGCCAGGTTATCTGCTGTGCCTCCTAGCTTTGTTTCCTGTTTCAGCCTGTTTTTTTGTGACATGTGATTTGCTTACCTGATCACTTTTAGTTTTGTTTGCCTCTGCTGACTGCCTACCTGCTGCCAACCCTTATCCTGCACACTAGGGATGCACCAATCCCACAATTTCTCTCATACTGTTTACAAAACTCAGGGTATCTGTTGATGCAGAGTACTGATTGGTGTGCTTTCTTTTTCCCAAATTTAAATCTTCATTTAAAACAGATTGCTGTGGAAACTGAAACAGCAGCCCGCTGTGACTGAATAAATGTAACTGATAAAGGAAACATTGCATTTTATATTAACATTGACAAAAACTGTATTTAATGTGGTCACATTATGGCCAATACCAAATCTGACAATGAGGTTTGTCAGTAGGAATGTGGCGGATAAGATCAGCATCCCTCCTGCATACTCACAAACTAAAGCCTTCTTTTATCCTACTGCTACTGTCAGGTGCTTAGTCTGTGAATCTCAGTTTTGACTTTTAACACTGAGCGGACACTAGGTGGCAGTATTGTTTTTAATTTGTTTTAGCTCTTTTACAGAGACGTGTAATACAGGAAATAGGAAGGCAAGTTTTTAGGTGAACAAGAGAGAAATCTATGTATTTGTACGTAGGTTTTCAGTCAACCTTTATGCCCACAGGCAACACACAGTAGTAGCTAAACCACTATAGCACCGGCGGGTTAATTTCACCCTGAACAAAGTGTTAGAAACAACATGGTCATAAATGTAGGTCTATTGGTAGTTGTACCAAACAATGACATTCAAAACAGCAAAGGATGCACATGTTATTTACAAGTTGTTATCTGGAACTAACACATGTACATTTTAAAATAGCTAGAGTAGATTATAACATACTCAGTTTCTTGCCATATTTAACAACCGCTACTAATATTCCAGATTTTTTTTATTTATTGACAGTACTTTTTCAAGATATTAATTTGTATTTCCTCCTCGTAGCTCTACTCCCTGTGACATTAGTGCACACCTTTACATGCTCTACGTCAGCGTCTAGGTTGCCCCAGAATCAAACAACAACAGCCAAACTAACAAAGCAGCAACCATAGTCAGCCACATAGTCAGACCAAAGAAAGAGAAAGCAGGAGAGAAAGAAATAGAGGAACAAGGAGACGCAAGATGTGGAGAGTGGAAGATGGAGCTTAAGAAAAACAGACAGAGGAGAAGAGACATGGGAGATAGATGGAGGGGAAAGGTTGAGGCAGAAGAAGAATGAGAGAACAAAAAAAGGGAGTAGATGAATGGAAATGTGGCAAGAGACAATGAGGTTAATACATAAAAGGATGGATCAAAGAGAAACAGAGAGGTAGGGAGAGACATGGAGGGAAAAAAAGGGAGCAAAGATAAAAACGAGAGATCACAATGTGTGAATGATGAGAGGTCCAGATGTGACTGATCTGGCTCAGTTTCTTCTGTTTGTTCTAGCAACAGCAACAGAACTAAAAAGAAAAACAAGACTGACATCTAGTGGAAGGAAATCTAACAGCAACTTACCTGCATTGTTCCCCGTCCTCATGTCCAGCATGAACATGCAGCTCCTTTTCCTTTTCTGAATTCAATTAACTGGGAAAAAGTCAGAGCTCCTATTTGTCAGATTCACACACATGTGGTCGTACTTTCAGACTAAGAAGTAAAAGCATCTTTCTTAACCTTGGACATACTGTCTCTGCCGATATTGAGAGCTCCAGATGTGTCTTAACCTGCATGGAGAGGGCAGGAGATGGAGGTCAGGCAGAAATACTGTTCATGCGATGGGAGGACAGATGAACACCAAAACAGAAAGAGCCCAATGTTTAGGATTACACTCTGATCTGTTTGTTCAGTCTCTTTATTACACACTGATATCGCTGCACACTTTGTGAAGACTGCATATCCAGAATGTCTCACAATCCTCAGGGGAGCAACTGGCAAATTGAAAGAAAGTGTTGATTGCCTCTAAAATTGCTCTCCATACATTTTTCTTATCTTGACTGGTGAGGGTTGGGCTGAGTTTACCTCGCTTGTCTTTATGTTTTTGTTTTTGTTTCCTGCAAAACTGAAGATAGTTCCACAATTGTCATCACAATAATACATAGCTGTATGTAGACAATGTAAAACAAAATGCTATGAATTATGTACACTTATTTTTGCATCTGCAAATATAATTGAGATTTAAGCTTTATATAAATTTGGGGGTTTAATGTTTGCATATGTTAACTTGGTGCCTTAGTAAACACATAAAGCCCCCACACATTTTCTCTTGTTTAATACTCCAAATACTCAACTTTCAGAAAAACTGTAGTATAATAATAATAATATCATAATTTCCACTTACAGGTGGGGGTGTACTAAAACTGTGATGTCACACTCTTTCCCAGGAGTTGTCCTCCTGCTGTAAGTCAGGATAGACTATAAACTCTACAGTCAGAGGTAATAGTGTTTTTTAGTTCTTGTTTAACTCCCATGAGGAACGGATTCTACATGATAAATTTCAGACTCTCCTGTTGAAATAATGTACAGCTGACAGAGGAATCAATCTGCAGTGAATCATTGTGAGACTTTGTCACTCAGGCCAGAGCAACAGTATTGATTCATGTGAAAAATGACCCTAATATAACATATTCAGGGTTGTCAGGCAATTATGAGAAATCACCTCACATCCCCAAGTGATATTTGTCAGGCTGATATCTCCTGAGAATGTCAAACAATTTGTCATAATTACAGACATTGGATGTTGAATTAAATCCTGTGAGAATACTTTACTTTTAAAGGTTTAATAATGTGGAACAGCTGCTGTGCTGCTATTGAAAACTGGATGTCTTCTTATTTCCTAACTGAATATTTTACATAGCTGAGGTGTGCCTTATTGCCTTTGAACAGATTTCAGATGAGTGGGTTTTTCTTTGACAGCAAATTCTTTGGTTTGAAATCTTGAAGTTATTTCCAATTCACACATTTAAAGTCTAGCTTTATGGAATTAAAAAATATCAGAATCAGAAAATAAAATTAGATCAGTGCTGTGCAAAAATATAGCAAATCCTCCATGTCATCTCCTCCTACTTTGATCGCTGCAACTGTGTTTACATATCTGAATGGTGCAGCATCTGAACATCCCTGAACACACATACAGAGCCTAAGATCCCTTTCTGGCTGTGATGCCTTACAGAGACTCTAACAGGTAAATTTATAATCATTTAAATTACATTTTAAATGGGGACTTCCATGTTCCATATTTAATTTCGATAAAGTTGTAGGACTAGCAAAGGCTGAGATAATGACTTTTAGCCCTTAGTATACTCATGCTACAAGTGTCTTCCTACACTTTGCATTAGTCAGCTTGATAGCAGAACTATGTCTGTAGTTTGTTCAAATAACCTATGATATAATTTTTTTTTTTTTAACATGTTCCTTTTGAGTACAAAATGTGTCTGCCTCTGGACAAGGTGTTTCATGTCTCGTACCACTCAGTGTTGGTTTGCTTACTTTAACTAGACGTTTTGTAGCCTGAACTTAACCAGACCTTAACAAGAGAGAGAGTGCTGTAAATCTCAGATCTTTCACCCATATTTTCAGCATCAAGACTCCAAGAACATAAGTGTTTATTGACATAAACAAACAACATGCAGACTACAACAAAAGCTGGTAAATATGATAAATCACCTCTCAGGGAAATGATGGTAATTGATAGTTTAACACTATCCATAACTGTAGCTCAAACTGCTAATATAACATTTTGGAATAAAACTCCTTCCATACTGTGTGAGTTTAAACAAATATTTAAATATTGCCATTTTCACAAGGCAGGTTTGCAATTCCACTTTTTGCACATCTTTTATCTCGAGTGATGCATTAAATGTCCCTTTTTGTATTTAAAAACCTTTTCACCCACACTGTCCTCATTTAGCTGAGTTGCAAATCTTTCTGTGATCTGTCCTGTTTGTCTCTGCTCTTTAATAAAGCAGAAATTCCATTTATATAATTCAAAAATACCAAGCTCAAAAAATATATTGTCCTCAAGCTAAAAACACTATCTTTCCTCCTGAAAAGCCCCATTTTATTTGTTTTTTGTTCAATAGCAAAGATGTCAAAATTCTGACAATGTGTCTTCAAAACACACAATCACATAGTGTTGAAACTAGACAAGTGGGTGTGTTTAAAATGACACCCCTCAGTTTTGTACAGTGTACATATCATTGTAGTCAGGTTGTTGTCTCCTGCTCAACAGCAGTTACTGGCCTCCTGCGTCTGTTTTTCCCCTCCCAGCCACAGAGGGGCGCTGTTGATCTTGGCGCTCTGGGCCCTGGCCTCTTTAGACTCCCCCTGCATCCCCCCTCCCTCACTGGCCAGGCGCTTGTGGATCTCAGAGGCCATGGTGAGGAAGGCCCTCTCCACGTTATCAGCGCTCTTAGCACTTGTCTCCAGGAAGGAGATCTTAAGAGATGAGGCCAGTTCCTGGAGAGAGACAGAGGAGCGTGGGAGAAAAGGAACAAGGGATGGAGGAAGGAATCCAGAAAGGAAGCAAACGTGTAACAAAAAATCACAATTAATATGCAAAATCATTACAAGGTATCAATACGTCAGTGTACAAATACTTCAGTATAAGTAAGTTATAATTAAGTGTTAAGTATTGGCAATAAAATATACTCATGCTTGAAAGTTAGTAAGGTCTCATTGTGAAAATGAATCTCCACTTAAATTACTGATGAACTGACATGTAAACAAAATAATACTGTAGTGGTGTAACAGCTTTATACTTGGTTGGGTATTTTTCTCCAACAGAGCATCACAATGTATGAGTTTACGTTATGTATTGCATGTAAAAACTCTAGAAAGTAACTCTAACCTTCCAACATGTTCTCATCTCAGGGTGTCAAATACCACTGCTATGAGAAAGCCTGACAAAGCATCCGTATGTGAAGCATAAAATACCCTTCATCGTCCATGAAACGCCTTTAGGTTTATTAAAGGTCCAGTGTATGATACTGTATTTCTGAGGATCTATTGACAGAAATGCAATATAAGATCCATAACTATGTTTTCAGATGTGTATAAAGACCTTTTATGTAATAAACCGTTATGTTTTTATTACCTCAGAATGAATAAAAGCTCTCAATTCAACTCCAAATATAACATTACAGCAAACAAACTTCTCGCGCTTTTATTTTGCAGGCAAAAGCCACAAAGAGGAAGTGATTATGTATTATTATAACTGAGATCTATTTCAGCACCACTATCAAAGCACCATAATCTGGCAGCGGGCCAGATATTATTGCTAGCGGGCAGTTTTGGCGAGTGTCCATGATCACAGAGAGAATGAATGTTTCCCTTGTCAATGTGTGTATAAATTTTAATGTGTGGTTTATAATGGACTGTGGTGCAGAAACAGTGACAGTGTTTCACACTCTTGGCTCACATTTTCCATGTTATGTAAGTGGCAAAGTCACAATAACATATGGTTTTACTGAATAATTAACTTAATATAATTTCTTAATAAATATACCTAAAGAAATCTAATTTCTTGACTTGCTACTCTCTGCTGTCTCAGAAGAGACACCTTTTGTGCTGTGTCAGCCACCGTAGCTGTGCTATGCTCTTTCAAAAGGGTGGGGGCCAGCGGTAGACTGGAGAGATGGTTGCAATTCACAACCTCACAGCTAGATGCCCCTAAATCTTACACACTTAACCTTTTAAAAGATCATGTGTTTTGTTAGATTTAGGAAAAAATTGTGTTTTTGATTAAAATAAGTACATTATGTGATTGCAGATGGGTTACATTGGAGTTACTTGAAAGCCCAGGGTATTTCATATGGGCACTGAAGGGTAACTTCTGCGTCAAATACCGATGCTTTGTCAGGCTCAAAGCATCTGTATTTGAAGCCCTGACATAAAAGCGGGCTCAGCCACCCAGATTAATGTAGTGGAAATGTAGGCCTAGTGGAGGAAAAATTTAATTCTCCCAAAATTAATTTAAAAAACTATTTTAATCTAGCACCACTATCAGGTCAAACTCTCTCTTTGTCCAACACTTCATTACTCAGTCATTAGTTGAAGAGGTCCTGTCATATACTGATTAATCCCCCTCAAACACAGCTTTAAAAGTTATTGCCAACACAGCATGCAAAACATTAGCATGTCAACATGCTACTGTTATCATATTATCATGCTAATGTTGGCATTCAAGTTTGACTCAAATAACAACTTTGCCTTTCCTCACTCTCGCCACTAAATATATTTTTGTCTCGTCTCCAAGTTTGCTTGATCACGTATTTAATGTTTCTATTTAGTCTCTTTAGTATTGTCTTTTATAGTTAAGGACTATGTTTCCAGTCAAACCAGCTTTCAAACAGCAATTCACTGAGCTGTTAGCATTTTGTGAAACAGATTACAAATCTTGAAACAGTGAAGACATTTCAAAATACAGTATCATTGTTGTGTAGACATGTAAATACACACACACACACAAACTACTGTTTGATTTGTCTTTGCTGGTTTAGTGTGACAACTGAACTGGCTCTAAGGACTACAACCCCATCAGCCACAGGTGTCTAGTGGTCCAATGCAATTGACCTAGAATTCCCTATGCAGACAACCCGTTCTCACTCCTTGACTTGTCACATACGGACGCAAGGTCAAGACCCATAAGAGTCAGTTTGTAACGCACGGGGGATCCCTATAGCGTCATAGTTCAACGCATTGGGGGAAGCCCTGTAGTGTCAGTTTTTGACGGTAAAGGGAGGCATTTCATATTTAACAGAAAAGACAGAGTAAGGAGGTGGTTGGGGTGGCTGGAGGGCCAGAACACGGACTTTGAACCAGGAGACCGGTGTTCGTGTGAAATAAAAACTTTGTCTTTCCTCTGGTACCAACATTTCAACAAACAAATGAGTGAATAGCATCTACAATAGCAAAGTTTCTTTCCATTTTTGAAGCACCCAATTTTGCTTTCTTGCATTTAAGAAAACAGCCTCACAGCTGCTACAGTGATGGTTGGGGTTGTTTAATAGTATTTGGAGGTTGTGTGTAGCTTGTTACCTGAGCAGTGGCTGCGTCCACCACTTTCTTACCAACGAGGTCAGCCTTGTTTCCCACGAGCAGCTGTGAGACGTTTTCACAGGCGTACCGATCTATCTCGTCCAACCATTGCTTCACATTGTTAAAGGACTCCTGGGGAGAAAAGACAGAGAGAAAGAAGAGATGAGGAGAGAAGTTAATGTTCAAACTCTCCCCTATTATGTTGTTGATGATGTGACAAACGTACACACTGACCTGCTCAGTGACGTCGTAGACGATAATGATGCCGTGAGCTCCTCTGTAGTAGCTGGAGGTGATGGTTCGAAACCTCTCTTGACCTGCCGTGTCCCACTGAGGGATACACACACTCATTCAGTCCCAACTCACCCACTGCCCGCCATCCCATTGACTACGCCTGATAAACAGTCTCTTACAATCTGTAGTTTCACTGTCTTCCCGTCCATGTCGATGGTCCTGATCTTGAAGTCGACTCCGATGGTGGAGATGTAGCTCTCGGTGTAGGTGTCATCCTGGTGTGTGAGACATATGATCAACAACAACAAGCAGTAAAGTGTTTGTTTGGATTAAAATGTGTTTGTGTATGGGTTTTTTTGGTGTCGACTGGCACTGATGGTGCGTTTCATTTGACATGGGAAGTTGGAATTTCCAAAGGGAACGATCCCTTAAGTAGGATTTCCAACTTGGAAAGTTGGCAAACCCCACTACCCAACTTTTTGATCCAAGATGGCTGCTGCGAGTATTAACAGTTAGTGAAAGATGTAGTTTATACTGTTTATTAGCACTTCTGTGTACTTGTGCCTCATATAAATTATCGTACACAAAGTGCTGTCCAACTGTGGATGTGTTTTTTAATCAACTGGCAAAGCAATGGCTAACCAGGCTAAGAATGGCTGGTTGAGCGAGGTTTCCGACTTGTTAACTGTAACGCTGTCAACTCGGGTGTGACGTCATTCCCAGCTCCGACCTCCAACTTCCGAGGTAAATGGAACGCACCATTTTTTACAGGCCTACCGCGAAGCGAAGCAGCAGACATGATTTTCCGACCCCAGAGTCACCGATCAGAAGAAGTTTGAACAGGTAGTCACTGGAGGAAGACACACACACACACACACACACACACACAGATGTACGCACACATAAAAACATTTGGCTGTTCAGTGTCTTTAACTAGGATGAAGGAAAAGCTGGTCATTTTTGGAGATAATTCAATTATGATGTTATATTTTTGTAACAGCTCCCTAGTTCAAATGTTAAATGTCTTCTTGAATCCTTAGAAAACCAGACTGTAATATTGTCATTTGCCAACAAAGAAAACCTGTCATTCTGAAAAATACTCCCAGCACCCAATATTTCCCAGCAGCATCTGGTGCACATCCAAATATAGTTGTGAATGCAGATATTTTTTATTTAACAGATACAGACACAGATGGTGGCATGCTGCACACCCTTGTAACCACAGCAAGCCTGAAACGCAGCCAACATCTTTTCCACTTTATGTTGGCTGAGAAAAAATGAATTATCACTCTCCCCACTAAAAATATTTTCGTCTCATCTCCAAGTTTGCTTGATCACATATTTAATGTTTCTATTTAGTCTCTTTAGTATTGTCTTTTATAGTTAAGGACTATGTTTCCAGTCAAACCAGCTTTCAAACAGCAATTCACTGAGCTGTTAGCATTTTGTGAAACAGATTACAAATCTTGAAACAGTGAAGACATTTCAAAATACAGTATCATTGTTGTGTAGACATGTAAATACACACACACACAAACTACTGTTTGATTTGTCTTTGCTGGTTTAGTGTGACAACTGAACTGGCTCTAAGGACTACAACCCCATCAGCCACAGGTGTCTAGTGGTCCAATGCAATTGACCTAGAATTCCCTATGCAGACAACCCGTTCTCACTCCTTGACTTGTCACATACGGATGCAAGGTCAAGACCCATAAGAGTCAGTTTGTAACGCACGGGGGATCCCTATAGCGTCATAGTTCAACGCATTGGGGGAAGCCCTGTAGTGTCAGTTTTTGACGGTAAAGGGAGGCATTTCATATTTAACAGAAAAGACAGTAAGGAGGTGGTTGGGGTGGCTGGAGGGCCAGAACCCGGACTTTGAACCAGGAGTCAGTGGATAAAAAGTCAACATTAAATATTTTTATTTAAGTCACGCAAGTTACATCAATATTGTAAGTTACGCAAGTGACGTTAGTCAGCTTACATGTTAACTTGACGTATGTAGTTATTTTAACCCAAACCATGATCTTTTCCAAACCTTAATCAAGTACTTTTTGTGCCTAAACCTAACCAAATTGCAACATTTCACAACTTAAACAATGTGCCGTGTCAAAATGGCGATGTTTCGAAACACTAGACGTCTAAAAATGATGTAAAAGGGGTACCCAGGCTTTCCAAAGCAACGCTAAATGGGCCTTGACCAAGCGTCGATATGTGAGGAGTCAGGAATGAGAACACGTTAATGCAGAAAATGAACTGGACTTTTCTTCTGTAAGCATGGACGCCTGATTCACAACTCCACACCTGACAATTAACTCTGAGTCGGTTCAAACTATAAGATCTTTTGTTTTATTCTTTGTTTTTCATACAAAAAACTCTATACTGAAACACAGGATGGAGCTAAAACATTAGCGTCTACACACAAGGTCCAGTTACATCAGTATTTAAATATAGGGCAGAGTTACACATCAACAAACACAAATGTATCTCCCTGAACACTGGATGTTTATGGTCAAAAACAAGGATGTTACATGGTCTTGAACGGTGCCCTAACATTTCACGTCAGTCACTGTTAAAGAGCAGATGTGAGTGTCTGTCAGTGGCATACAATATATGTCTTGTCGGAACTGGATATTTACAACACCACGACACTGAAACACACAGCATACGGAATGAAAAAACACTTACTATTCAGGATTCATGATCTGTGAGGTCGCTCCAGGTGTCACGACAAAACAAAGAAGCCCTGAAATTGAATCCTGAAGCTGAAAATTATTAGAAATATTTTGTACTGTGCTTGCGCCTAATTATCTGTGTGTGTGTGTGTGTGTGTGTGTGTGTGTGTGTGTGAGTATTTGTGTGGGGCTGTATCTGTCCTTTGGAGGGCAAAAGGCAGAATAAGCCGGAGCTACGTATCTTGCGAGCTGACTGGTTCACATGAATTATTTATTCATAAAGACCAGCTCAGGTTGCACTGGGGACAGCACCTGGAACCAACACTCACACTAGCAAACACAGACACACTGAATACAGTCACCCTCCATAGTCTAATCCTAAATCTAAACTGAACTACTCTGACAACTCATATCTTTGCTCTTTTCATGTTGGTGATGTTTTTGTGCTGATCTGTTATTGCACCACTCTGCCTCTGCATGTGACCGACACCACCTCAAACTGAGGGCGTCTCCTGTGCGTCAATACGTCACTGCAGCTGTCAAACTTCCAAACAAACAGGAAGCAGGAAGTAATTCTACTGGAACCACCCAAGAAACAACAAGACAACAATGATACCAAAGACAACTCATATGTATTTATATACCTCAAACCTGCATTAACTGATATCTTTAGCCACCTGGGGACGGTGGAAACACAAGAAATATAATCACATTATAGAGTTGATGGCTGTCAATCCCAAACAGATTTTTAGCTAATAGTTGCTTATTTATGTACATTCAGTAGAGAGTTGCATTAGCATTAATTTGCAGTTTCTGGCCATCTGGCAAAGTCCAGTATTCACTCTCCTTTTAGCTCTGTTTTTGGTCTCCACCAACTCTAGATGTTTGATGATGGGCAGGTAGTGTACAGTTAGAGTTTTTTCACTAAAAACAGTAAACCAAAATGAGCTGAAAGACACAAATAAGTGAAAAAGTAGTGGAGTGATAATTATCACACTTTATTTAGAAGTAATAATCTGATCCATTGGTAATATTAACATCGTGCTTAAAGCAGCTTTATAAAAAACAACATTAGCCTTATTTTTGTTGTTTTGGCCGTCATGTAACATTGTACGCACCAAAGTAATAGCTGAGATCTGGCATCTGATATAAAGTCAGACAGGCAAGCAACACGATCAGACTGGGATCAGATTGGTTGTAAACAAAACAAATTTGACCAGATTATTTACACCCTTCATTTGGAGGTAAAACTGAAAATGTCAGATAATTCCTCATTGCAAAAGGTGAAGCAGGATATTTTTAAGCTTTTCTTTACATTTTTAAATTAAGAAAATAAGTCTTCATTTTCAGATTGCGTACATTGATGCAGATTGCGACCAACTGATCCCGTCCCAAGGGTGTAGGAGAACCTACAGTGGCCGATAGGGCTGAAATGATTTATCCATAAATTGGATAAATCGCATAACTTGGATTATTAAAAAGCATTGACGCAACTTCTTTGCATCGAGGCTTCATTAAATCCATATATATCTATAGAGCACACTGTTTTGCACGGACAAATATTATTACTGTCACCCATCTCGCTTAAGCTGTGATCAAGTGAACACGATGTGATTATGATGCCGCTGTTGGCAAAGTGGAGGAAGAGAGAGAAAATAGCGAGTGATGAAGAAGAAAGTGTCCAAAGTACGGGATTATTTCAAGCCAAAAGAGAACAACAACTCTGTAATTTTACACCATTACTACCATTTCTGTCCACCATAAAACGAAACTAATGTAGCCTACCGCAACAGCACGATGGCAATGCTTAAGATCAGAAAGCACCTGGTCTAGCATCAAGTCCACGGAGAGGACCACGAACAAGGTAACAGTAACAGCAACTTTAGCATTTAACTGAAATCATGATTGATTGTTGAGTTGAAGGCTGGCAAAAGTAAGCTGTAAAAGTATGCACGTCCGTTTGTTACACAACACGGTACTGAATTCTTCTCTCCTCCTGAGGAGATTCATCAGGTATAGACAAAACACACACACACACACACACACAATCTTACTGTTACAAACACAATGGTACTCAAGCAACGAGCCATTCAGGCACAAAGCACACTGATTTGCCTTGTTATTGTCGACACACACAATCCAATGATGCGGTTGATTATTCGGCTAATGAGTGGTGAGTTGTTGTTGTTGTTGTTCTCACGGCTGTGTGTTGAAGCATGATGTTAGTATTATATGATCGGTGCACTTGAATGGTATAATAGAGCTGTTTATTCTAAACTGGGAGAGGAGTTGGAGTTAGTCAGCTGAGTCGCAGATAATTGAATTTGTATCCATTAAACTGTAATTTTATCTTTGATTTTCAATTTACTGATATTAAGATTCAAAATCTCTGGCTGTAATACCATCAGTAAAACATGAGTGTGTTGCATCATGTAATTCCACGCATCTGATTCACAGCTCTTCTATTTTTGATATTTTTCTCCTCTCTTGTCCTTGTTTTCTTTGATCTCCTATTATTTGGTCTGCACTTGGCTTCTTTCCTTTCCAGTCATCTCATCTCCACTCGTTCCCTTGTTCCCTTTGCTCTCCTCTCCACTCATCTCCTTCTTTCTTTCTTTTCTTTGTAACTCCTCGTTTCCTAGCCCTTTCATTTCCTCCCCTGGTTTCTCCTCTTTGTTTTCTTACCTCTTTTTTCCGTGTTTCCTTTCATTTCATTACCTCTCCTCTACTTGTTTCTTTCCAACTCTTCTTGTCTTCTCTTGCTCTCCCTTCCTCTGGTCTCCTTTTCTTTCCTTTTTTTCTTTTCATAACATCTCCCTGTCTCTTCTCTCCTCCCTCCATCTCCTCTCTTCTAATTATTAAGCCTTCTTTCCTTCTCTATGTTTCCTCTCCTTCTTTCCTTTTGATCTCCTGTTTTCTTTCCTCTTCTCTCCTTGTCAACTTTTCAACTCTTCTTGTCTTCTCTTTCTCTCTCTTCCTCTCATTTCCTTTCATTTAATTTTCTTACCTTTCCTATTTTTCCCCCCTAATCTTTCTTCTCTTATTACTGTTTTCACTGCTTTTCTCACTACTCCTCTTTTCTTTTCATAACCTCTCCTTGTGTCTTCTCTCCTCCTTTCCTCTCCTATCTTGCTTTATTAGAAATGGACAGAGCGAAAGTGAAGCAGTCTCATTCACCGCTGATTCCCGTGTGTGACCCCTTGGTCATGGGAGTGAGCAGAGAGCAGGGGATTGTGGGATATGCGGTGGCAGAGCAGCTGTGATGGGGTCAGGGGTCAGCAGCCCTGGCGACGGCATGTTGCCGGGGCAGAGGCGGCGGTGCGATGGTTGCTAGGCCCGCGGCAGGCTTTGTGGCTCTCCCGATGGAGCATGGAGGTGGGAAAACTGGGGGAAGGGACAAGGAGAAAGAGAAGATATAAAGAGCAAGAAGAGAAAGAAATTAACAAAGAGAACGGGTTGGAAAGCAAGATAAATGGTGGGAAAAGGGGAAAAAAAAGAAAATTCATACAGAAAATAATATATCAGAGGAATGAACTACTCGATTCTATTTATTGACAGGGCTTTTCCGGGCTGTGTGACAGCTTGTTTTAATACTGTACATGAATGGAAGCCAATGTTTTCTGAAGGAATTAAGAAATCTTGGTTCAGAAAATATCAATATAAAGAGAAACTGACCCTTAAACAAATGACAAATGAAATTGGATTCGTCTTGGGACACAGAAGATAGGTGTCTGTTATCAGATATTTCTTAGTGTTCACATAACTAAAATAAATGGAGTGGAATTGTGAATGGCGGTAGACTGATCTTAATATTGTTCTGAAGGATTTGCACGAAGTATCACCAAGCATGTGTGCACAATTTATGGTGTTTGGGGAACATTATTGGACTTCCTGTACGCAGATGATTTAGTTATGTTCTTGACTGGTCTAGTCAGTAAACCTCAATCCAACTGACCGTGTGTTTCACTGTTGAAGAAGTGGCCTACTATACAGGCCTCAAATAATAAACATGATTACTTTATGTAGGTTTATTTCCAGCTTCTAGTAGATTTTGTTCCCCTAATAAATGGGATCTGTGTATACAATGATCTGTGTATACAATGAGCAGATCCTCAGCTTTCCTTCTTAAAAAGTTTTGAGACAAAATAATGCAAAATAACATAAGCAAAGAGGACCAGGAATGCATTATTTGCCATCAGTTCCCCATAAGTGCAAACTCAGTTGTTCCTTGTCCGTTTGGTAGGATGATACTTCACTTTAGGTGACACAAAATTGGGACTACCATGTATGTAATTAAAAATAAATGTGTAATTATAGCTTTGTGTCACTCAGCAGCCATCTGAGAGTTACTCAGGAACGACTCAAGTGGCCAATATGTAGATTTACATATATCTAGGAGCTAATGATTACGCACTGCTTCACTTGCATCTCAGTGATTTAGACAGAAAGTGCATCTAGCGTGAAAGTCAGGTCATACAAAAACACCAGTGTGTGTGTGTGTGTGTGTGTGTGTGTGTGTGTGTGTGTGTGTGTGTGTGTGTGTGTGTGTGTGTGTGCGCATGTGGGCAGGTCAGTGGATGGAGTTAAACCGGTCATTGTTCCTATCAGTGAGTGTCCCAGGAGACCTGAGGGAGCGGGCATAAATAGGTGCTTTTCACTATTCACCCCTATTTTACCACGCTCCCTGGCTCCTGCATGTATGTGTGTTTTGTTTGTCAGCCTGTGTGCGCGTGTGTGTGTCTTTGAAATCATGTAGTGTTGAGTTTACAAGAGTGTGTGTGTGTGTGTGTGTGTGTGTGTGTGTGTGTGTGTGTGTGTGTTAAAGAATATAGCGGGAAATAAACTATTTGTTATTTATCTATTTGGGAATTAAAATAAAAACTTTAGTATTACTTTAAAACTAACACTGAAAGGTGATCTTATAAAACCAAATATGAGTAAATCAGATATGATTGTGTAAAAAAAAAAACATGAATGCCTTGTGAGATTTATTGGAATGTTTTTCTCTCTCTGATTTCCCAAAATTTAACAACATATTTTAAAAACAATTTAAAAACATATTGATATGTCAGGAAAAATATAAAGGCAAAAAAAAGCTTATGGCTATAAATTAAAACTAAAATGGAAAAACAAAAAAAGAGTTTTTAACTAAAAGCTAAAGGAGAAATAGGTAATAGGTCAAACTAAGCTGAAAATAAAACCATTTGCATGTTTGTGTGTGTGTGTGTGTGTGTGTCTGTCTGAGGGTGTGTATCTGTTGTTGCTATTGGTTGAAGATTTATGTGGAGTCACTTTGTCACTCTTTTCCGTGTGTGTGTGTGCGTGTGTGCGTGCGATCGTGCAGGGACGGCCCTGAGGCCAATTAGGCGACAGATAATTAACCTCATTGAAACTGGATGCTGAATGAAGGCCTTATTGCAGAGAGAAAGAAAGAGAGAGAGCGAGAGCTGGAAAGAACCATTGAGTGAACATTTTGGAAATCATGCAATCCTGTCTCCTACCAATAGTGTTTATATTATACTAATGTGCAATAAGGAAATATGTTTTGAGAGAAACGTAAAGCCGCCATGCCCTTTTTTTTATCAAAATGAGTTAACGAAAACATCTGTCATATCGCAAAATATTCATCCTGAACTCATCTTTCAAACCTTTACTGATAAAATACTTCATTTGTTTTTATTTTACATTATCCACTCATAGAAAAAACTATGATGGATGATTTTATACGGTTGTGTTTAGGCAGTCAGTCAGGTGCAATACAAGACAATACAAACGTTTAGCTGAAACTACATCCATCCATCGTCAACCGCTTATCCTGC